ATCAAATTTTGGGGTAAAAAAGTGCATCTTATACACCGAAAAATACAGTAAATTCTTCATGCTACAGTTAGTCTCTAGTTTATATGGAGATACTCTTACTATATAATATAATAGTTCAGATTGAAATTTTAATACATTCAGTTTTAACTTAAGTAAACAAGTTAAGAGTTTTAAATTGATGTCATATGCAAGGTGAGCTTGTTTAACCCTCTTGCTACAAGTTCAGTGGATTACACCAACCTTGTGACCCCAAAGTTTTCATATTATAACATTTAATATGTTTTGTGTATCTTTAAGAAATTTAGCAAGATTTCAGTAAATATTACAAGTCTTTTGTACATAAAATATCACATGTTTGGATTAATTATATTTTACTAAAAATTTGTCTATGAATATATGGTGTCAGATTGTTAACTGCAATGAGTGCAAAGTAATTTTCATGTTAACCCTTTCAGCATGGGCTGATACATTTTGTATCAATTTGACAAGGGAAGGACATATATACAAAAAACATAAGGTAATTTTGAGAGTTCTTCATGAAACCTCATAAGATTTTGTTAAAGTTTATAAGTATTTTGTACACAAAGAATGAGGTTATTTTAATTATGTCTTTCTAATAAAAATTTTATTTATCTATAGTATTTATTTGCACTCAAACTGTTAAAGTTGTTCAAGTGTAAGGGGACTTTCATTGTAAGTGTAAAATACTATTCTTCTCTTATAGTTTCTAATTTCATTTGCATAATCTCTAGAACCTCCTAAAACCTCTACTTTATTACTAACTCTAGCTATTATCATCAACATACAATGCAATGAAATATTTAAAATATAGAAAAAACATAACTTAATTTTTTGTAGAATATCTTTAAAGATTTTCCTTTTGTTAAATTTGTAATTTCAGATCTTTTCCTTTTTACATATAGTTTTATTTTCCTTTCTTGTTCTTTACTACTTATTATTCATCTCAACACAATATTGTAAGCCTTGACAACAGAAATAAAGTATGATATATATTTTTAAAATGTTTAAACCTTTTAATTATGCATTTTAAAACATAACTAATACATAGTTAACTAAAATATAATTGTAAGACCTAAATGCAATTTAAACTGTATCTTTAACTATAACATATTTAGGTAAGAAACAACTGTAAGTGCTATAGTTGATCAAGCAGCCAACAATATTACAGTCAGTTACATGTAATCTGTGAGGACAACTGTTCACCTATTTCAAAATAACCATAGTTAGATTATAGTGTCAAATGAGCTCTTTCTAGTGACTGTACACATGTGTATGTAACATCTACATGTAGGCTATAAAGCTCAAACAAATCTGTTGAAGGTTGGCATGGCAGCTGTCAGGGGTTGAAAAAAATTATTACTTGTTTCAACTGTATTTATTCAGAGAACTTTGAAATGAATGAGTCAAAAGGATCTGTAAGCATCTTATTGTCTAGACATACCTTTATTCGACTACCATTGTATTATTGAAGATACAGAGAGCCAAGGTAGAGAAGTTTCAAAACTCATTGGTCACATGACAATACATCTGAAGTTCTAAGTAGTTTCTAAAGGTTTATTTTGAAATAAAGGAATTAAAAGTTGTATAAAATAAAACCTCAAATCATAACATACATTATAATATTAATTTCATTTACATACAATAAAGGTGTAAAAGAATGTAACACAGGGACTTGTGCCGAAAAGTGCTTAAAGGGGCTCCCATTGTGAAAGTTTAATATTGAAAATAGTTTTCTTCATATGAAAATTTTTAAATTTCATTTGCTTAATCTCCAAAACCTCCTAAATAAATATCAAACGTTTTTTTAAAGTATTTTATATGTTATTTTCTCTACCATAACTCTTAAGCATTTGGTTGATTTAACCAATTTTGTAACCACCATAAAAAATATGTAATAAATCTAAATAACCTTTTTTCTTTCTAGAAGGATTGCAAATTGTAACAGGGTATTACAATTGTTTATCCTAAATAACTTAAAGCTTGTGATAGTATACATCTGTTTATACTTAATTTTATTGTTTTATTGAATTTTTATCATCAACTTACAATAAAAACAATTATGTCACAGGTAAGTAATATATTTTTTGTTTTTCATGTGTGTTCTTTATTTACTATTACAAAAGGAATTAAATGTACAAATTAGAAAGTTATTAGGTTAGATAAGGTTATATCAGGTAAGATAATGAAAACAAAATAATAACAAAAATTCTTCATGGGGTATGCTCATGAGCAAGTCCGGTATTATGTCATTCAATATGATGACATGAGCTACACATATGCCAAGTGATTTACAGCTTGTGTGGTGGGATTATTAGTTAGACAAGGTTCAAAGGGAAGCCAACTTTTTATACTAATGGTAGTAGTACACTAAATAATTTGTATTTACTTTAATAATGCTCTTTAGAACATAGAATAATAACATGCTTAAAGCAAGTAAAGTCCTATAGCTATTATAATTTCTAACTATGGCATAAGAAACTTTAAATCTTTCCTTAAGCTTGTTGGCATGACCACTGCAAGAAAAATATTCAAACTGAAGTTGAAATAAACAGTACTGTGTACTAAATACAATGTAATATCATGTGTCATTTCATTGATTAAAACTTTGGCTTTCTATTGGTTGTAAATAATATAGTATAAATTATCAGAAAGAACTATTGGAAATTTGGAAAAAGTGGATGTGACAGGTGGGTGTGGCAAGTGGGTCTGATTTTCTAATTATTGGCTCTCTAAACAAATAAGATTGAAGGCTATAAAAATTATTCTTAACTTGATTTACATCTGAATTATAAGGAGTAATTTATGCTAAATTTCATACTTCTCAGATGAAATAAATCTAAATGACCCTTTTTTTTCTTTCTAGAATGACTGCAAATTGTAACATGAAACTATAACTGTTTATCCTAAATAGCTTAAAGCTCGTATCGCTCTACATCTTTTATACTTAATTTTCTTGTTTTATTGCCCTATGAACAATGTCTATCTAATAATTCTGTCACACAAATTGAAAATCACTAAGTGAATGTGTAACTTGTGTTACCTCGTTGAATTACGTAATGCACAAGTTGCTTGCGAGCGTACCTCATAAATAATTTTCATTGTCTAACCTAACCTAACCTTGTCTAACCTAATAAGTTTGTAATTTTTACTTTGTAATTTGTAATTTTTTGTTACTTTTATAATAATTAGTGAAGAATACACAGGAAAAACAAGAAATATAATACTTACCTGGATCCTGTTGGTTTTTTGCTGTCAACTGTTGATGAATCTTAAGCATACTTTTTTATACTAATAGTACTACTACACTATATAATTTTATTTGATTAAATAATGCACCTTAAGAAACAGAATAATACCACTGACAAATCAAACAATGACCTACAAGTATCATAATTTGTCTGGATTTTTCACTATGTGATAAGATCCTTTAAAAATTAAGCTAAGCTTGTTGACATGAATACTGTGAGAAAAGTTTTGAACTGGAAGTGAAGTAGTCAGTTTCCTGTACAGAAAACAATGTAATATAATACATTATTTGATAGATTAAAACTTTGGCTTTGTATTGGTTAGAAATAATATAGTATAAAATATCAGAGAGAACTATTGGCAATTTGGAAAGAGAGAATGTGACAGGTGGGTGTGGTAAGTGGTCAGATTTTTTAGTTTATGACTCTGTAAACAAATAGGATTGAAGGCTATAAAAATTATGCATTGCCTTAGTAATATCTATGTTATAATAAGTAATTTACATTGAATTCCATACTTTTCAAAGGGGTGGTATATAAACTGGAGGAGAGGGAAGACTTAGAGGACAAATGTCACAATTCTCATACTAGAGGATTTTCAAAAATATTTATTTATAAGATTTAGAACTTAAACTTATATTAAAATAGATTTAGTAATTGCATTTGGGTGCAAAGTTTATTTATATACAATGATGATAAAGTAGTTTAATTAAATTTTGACAGTAACTCTAAAAAAGTTATAACATGTATATTTTGAACTACTAGTAGTGAGAGGGTTAAAAGAAATATGTGACTTATATAATTCTAATATGGTACATTACCTCTTCTCACATAAATAGCTATTCTCATTTGGTGCTGACTTCTATATGCAAAACATGTTTTTTTGAGCATGCCACAAGCCTTGAAACTCCCACCCGTCTGGAATTGACTAATTCCAATTCTTCTCACATACAAATTATTATGCAACCAATAAGAGTGTGACACACACTTTTGATGTACGTGACTCCCTCTATTCAATTCTAATGAACTAGCACTTCTCATTTAGCAGTACCCCCCACTAGATGGCTGGGTTTTAGATTGTAGTTGACTTGTTGCTGGTATGATCCTTGTCCTACCCCACATAGATGTTGGTTCCCATCGGCATGGGTTTTGGGACACATCCTTTAATCTTACCCACTTTTATGTTTTCAGGGATTGAGTTTAATAAATAATGTATAGGTTGGATCATTATCCTGCCATAGTTCTCTCCCATTTGGATGTGCTCCTCCATCTTTCTGCTTATATATGTGACATCTTTCCACAGTGGGCAAAGAGTATATCTGGTTGAGAAATGATGCAGTCTCCCACGTATGATCTTTGACTCCAAGGATCTCCTGTTGGGGATTGTCCTTCAGATGCTTTCAAAGGATGCTTCTTTCTTTCCCTTACACCGGTCCCTCCAGCTATTCACTGTGGGATTCTAGCTATTTATGTATTTCCAATAGGTAATTACCTCCTATCACACTTTCCACCCTTCCTCCCCACTGAAAACTGGTGCTTCCATTATCTGCCAACACTAGAAGTGATAGTTTGGTTGAATAGAGGGAGTCATATGCATCAAGAGTGTTTGTTGCACTGTTCGTGGTGGAGGTTTTTGCATGATAATTAGCATGCGAGATGCATTTTAATTAGTCAATTGTAGATGTGTGGGAGTTTCAAGCCTTGTGGAGTGTGCAAAAATGTTTTTTCATATAGAGGGCAGCACAGAACAATAATAGCTATTTATGTGAGAGGAGGTAATGTACCGTATCGGACATTTCCAAGAAATTACAGAAATTTTGGAAATACATTTTCAGTACAGGAAAATTATAACTTTCAGTTTTTAAATATAACTTAAGAAGCTTAGTCCAGTACTTTAATTTCTTTTTGTTAGGGCTGTATGTAGCTTGTGTTATATTGATAATGTTCTATCAACAGTTAACTGTAGATGCTGACCATTACACTACTAGTTGCTACTATTGGGAAATAATTGCTAATTGGAATGAAAAATTAAAGAAGCTGTTTTGAATATTATTTTTCTTCATGTTGTAGTGTAGTGGTATGATACTTTGTTTCTAAAAATTTGCTTCAGGGGACATTAGTTTTGTTTCGAGCTGCAGCTCGAGGTGTACCAAGTCCTGTACTTCTGGAGGTACAGGCTCGACCAAGACAGCACTATATTGTCCACAAGCCAGTCGGACCTACTGGAAGACTGAAGTTCCTTCAGGTGAAAGATATACTTAAGGAATATATTATTATAAACTAATCTTGTAAATAAATATATATATATATATATATATTTATTTTTTTCATTAATTTATCGGATACTGATTTATAGTATACTTTTGTTTGAAACTTTTTTGTTTTTCAAAATAAATTTTGTTTGAGATTGTAATAACTTCATCATATGTAGCTAGAACAGTAATTCTTGCTCATTTAATTGAAAAAATAGCCATAAATCACAAAACACTAAAGGAATGAAGTGTTTATTGGGATTTAACAAATTTTTTTGTAAATTTTGGAAGAACGTTTCAATCTCAAAAATATGTTTCAGTAGCTGAATTACCCATTCCCTACACAGGTGTACAAATTATTTGAAATGGGTTTTTTTAACAACACAAAGAAATTCTTTAAAGACCATTTATTTAAAAAATTCAACTTTCGTAACATTTTAATTTTTATCTTTTATTTTTCAAAACAAAAATTACACAATCTAAATTAAAGCTTCTTGATATACTACATTGGCTGTTGTTTCTTCTTCTGGCAATATAAACAGGTTTTGATGAGATCCAACCCTTGAACATCCTACATAGAATTTAACATGTGGAAAGCAAGGCTGCTTTAGGAACAATCCAGCAACTTTTAAACTTTGATCCTGTGCCTTATTAATTAACATTGCAAAACAAATTGTAACTGGGAATTGAAGCCTTCTAAATTAAAAGGGGTAATCATTTGGTAGCAAAGGAATTCTTGGAATGAAGACATCTTCACCTTTAGCATGACCAGTTGTAATTGTTGCTTCAATAATGCGTGGCAGTAAAGTATCAGCAACTAATCTTGTGCCATTACATAATTTTTGAGGGTCAAGATTTCTCAACAACATGATTGGTGAACCAACCTTTAATTTCAGAATGTGTCCTGGCATCCCTGGTGGTTCAACAAAATTTAGGAATTCAGTTGTGGAACTTAGAGCATCATCTGTATCTTTTGTATTGATTTTAGATCATTGATGTTATGAACAGTATGATTTTGAGGTGCCAAAATTGCTCTTTTACACAACCATTCATAAGTTTGATAATTTTGACAAATATTAGGGAACACCTTTTCCTTTAGCTCTTTTGCATCCTTTGGCAGATTATCAGTGAACATTACAATGCTTTCATACATAAAATATCAATTTTTTTATTTAGTCTTAAGGTTTGTAAAGCACTGTTTTTCTTGTGTCTTTTTTTTTTCTTATCACGTGTTGCCTATCTGCAAAATCTTTATAATGTTCAGATAGTTATCAAATGTTTCTCAAGAAAAAACTTCATATTTTATCTGTTATTTTCAGTAATTAATCTCTGTACTGGTTCAGTAGATTTGACCAGTCTCGCAACCACCATAAAAAATTAGGAAATA